TCCTTTTGACTTTTAAACTTCCAAATGTTATTCATCAAAAAGTACAGGGTATGCCAGGTGAGGTGGCATATGCCTATAATCCCAGCTACTGAAGGAGGAAGACAGCAAGTTCAGGGTTGGAATGGGCAACTTAGTAAGACCCTGTCTCAGGATAAAAAAAATAAGGTTGGATGTGGTGGTGCATGCCTATAATCCCAGCTGCTCTGGAAGATCACAAGTTCAAAGCTGGCTCAGAAACTTAGGGAGACCCTGTCTCAAAACAAAAAAAGGGTGGAGGGGTTGGGAGATAATAGCTCAGTGGTAAGTAAAGCACCCTGGAGTTCAATGCCCATTGTTTGAGCAGGGGAATGGGAGGAGTGTAAGGCAGAGAAAAAAGACTGGTAAATCACAAACTATAAATGCCCCTCAATTTACAATGGGGCTAATCCCAATAAACCCAATGAAAGTTGAAAATATTTTAAGTAGAAAATGCATGTAACATATCTAACCTACCTGATGTTATAGCTTTGCAACACAGTATACCTTATAGAGTACTGGTTAAGCTTGCTACCCACTGCCTAGCATCACAATAGAGAATCATAATCATGTATTACTAGCCCGGGAAAAAAATCAACTTCAAAATTCAAAGTACAATTTCTATACTGAGTTTGCACCATAATAAAGTTGAGAATTTACCAGGCATGGTGATACAAACTTAAATCCCAGCTACTCAGTACATTGAGTCAGTAGGATTTTCAAGTACAAGGCCAGCATGGGCAATTAAGTGAGACTCTTTATCTTTAACAAAAAGATAAGAGTCAAAAAACTTAAGTCAATTTTTTTTTTCTTTTGGTGCTGGGGATTGAACCCAGGACCTTGTGCGTGTGAGGCAAGCACTCTAACAACCGAGCTATATCCTCAGCCCCAAAATCTTCTTAACTGATGGAAAGTCTACATATAGTTCTTATAAAACATCAAGATGTCAATATTTATATGTACTCAGAAAAACTATAAAGTGATTTGTTGTTCAATGACAACTCTTAGCAAAATGCCTGTCAAACCAGCACATAACAGGGTTCTTGAGTGATAGAGCGATTATAGCTCTAGCTGTTATAGGTTGCCTACTTGATCCCCTTCTCTGATGAACCTCCATTCCCCAGCATTTCATGACTTATTTTCCCTCTTACTACCACTCCAAGACTGCCTTAGATGGGCAGATTTCATTTGTATTATTTCTAAACATTCAGAAATTAAAAAGCTGGGTAAAATGGGTTGCCAAATTTTAATTCTTCCAGTTCAAGAAATGCCTCAGTCACTCCCCCACCCATACTTCAAAGGTAAATATTAAATTACTTTACCATAAAACATCTAGAGGCAATATAGATATGCAAATTAAAAAAAATTTATCAATAAATTATTTTAAATCAAGTCCAATATTTAATGTTCTTGGCACTTGACTTTTTTAGAAGTGACTAGGAATTGCAGTTTTCCTCTAAAACATTCAACTTGCATTCACTTCATAATACATTTAATCTACTAAAGGTGAATCCATATATTCCTTCAACCAAATTATTGAGTGCCTAATGTGTCAAGCACAACTTAGCAAACATCAACTTTCCAAAAATCTCCTTTCTTCTTAGTGAAAGATGGATAAACATAGTAAGTGTGTGCTTGAAAATGATAAATTCAAGCCTGTCAAGGTGGAGAATACTAAAAACCTCCGCTAGTCAAGAGGCTGAGGCAGGAAGATAGCAAGTTCAAGGCCAGTCTGAACAATTTATCAAGACCCTGTCTCAAAATAAAAAGGGCTGGCAATGGAGCTCAGAGGTAGAGCACTTGCCTAGCATGCACAAGGCCCTTGATTCAATCCTAGCACCTCTTCCAGAAGAGCAAAAAACGAAAAACATCTAAGGAACAAACCCTTAAAGGAGAGGAAGTCAATCAACCATGATGATACCTGGGGAGCACTCCAGGCATAGGAGAGAGCAGAGAAAAGGTCCTAGATAAGAACAAGGAGACCAGTGAGACTAGAGGGAAGCCAGCAAGGGGGAAAGCATAGTAGATGTCATAATAAGTATGTGTGGAGATGCAGAATAAATTGTATAGGGTTTATGTGACATTGTAAGAAATTGTTTCATTAAACAGGGATCCATGAAGGATTGAGTGCCATGATTTGATCATTATCATTCTGGCTATTGTGCTTAGAACAAATTACATATAAGGAAAGCAGGGGTGAGAACTAGGAGACTACTAAAAGGAACAGGGCAAAGAAATACATACTTCCTATAAATGTCGATTGTTAATGGCAAAGGAATTACTTTTCTTTTTCTTTTTTTTGACAGGTGCTATTGATTGAAACTTGAGCAAACACACCCTCGCCCAGGGCTCATTTTTAAGCAAAAATTTTTAAAAATTAAAAAAAAAAAAAAAATACAAAATTGTCATATCCTGCTAATAAGAAATATCTGGAATTTTGCTTTATCAAGTTCTTGGTATATATGTACATTGTACAACATAAACACAAAGTTATCTTAACAGTTATCTTAACTATAACTCACGGGGGGGGGGGGGGGGGGAACCACACACGTTCCTCTACCTATAATCAGCTATTCCCTGTTCGAAGTCCTATGCAGCTGAGTGTGTTTTTTTTAAAGAAACAAGGGGTCAGTGGTAGAGTGCTTGCCTAGTACCTGTGAAGGCCTGGGTTCAATCCTTAGTACCATGAAAGAAAATAAGTAAGCCAATGTTACTGTAGTTCTGTTAATTATTTACTAATTCTTGAAAAAAAAGTTACTTTTGTTAACTGGAAATATTACAAATCACCTTGGATTGGTGCTACTCAAATTATCTAAAATAAATGTTCCTAAAATCTTATTTCTTTCAGGGGGACAATATTCTTCCTAAAAAAAATGTTTCCTTTTATGCTCCTGCTTTTAATATAACTATTTTCATAACTAATACAAAATTCACAATTAATACTAAACTTTACATCAGTTATCTAGGTCATTCACTTCAGGAAAGGACAACCACAAAAACTTCCCACTGTCAAAAATAACACAAACCAAAAAATGCTCATGATCACAAAAAAACCTTCATCATCTAGTGCTTCTGGCAAACACAAATGTGGTTCTCTAAAGTTATCCTTAATATAGCAATCAAAAGGATAAGAGAAAGAGCAACAAGTTAAAGATTCTGAATTGCTAGAAAGGGGCTAGGGAGCATAAATTTTGTAATGAAAATTCATAATTCTAAAAAATTTTGTTTATGAAACTTACATTTGCTGTAGAGTATATATATATGGTGAAGGGATGATGAAATTTAAAAAGTTCACTTGCTTTCATGCAAAGACATTTGGAAAGACATCCAGATACTGCTTGGAATTACAGAGATTACCCCTGTGACAACTTTCAAATCCTAGGTGTATAAGTACAGTAAGTATAATATTGAATGCAAGCTAATTCATTCACCATTTAGGTGTTTTAATGTGCCAGAAATTTCATGAAAACACTGAGATTAGCCACTGAGAACAGGGCTTCTATTCTTCATTTATCCCAGTTACCAAGTACCTACTATAATACAAAGGACACCTGGAAATACAGAGTTCCTAGCCTCATACAGCTTAAACTGGGAACAAGGGGAACACCTCAAGGATGAGACACATATCAAACTAAAGAAAAAGAACATTGAAGTGTTATAGGTACTGCTTATGTAAGTGTAGAGGGTTCACTGGGAGACACATCCGGGAATTCAAAGTGGGAGGGAGAGTAATGTCAGGACTTCAGATATAAAAGCTGAGTCCTTAAAGCTGATTAGATGTTCACCTGGCCAACCTTGGGGGAAGGGCTCCAAGCAGTGAGCAACTGGAGAAAAGGTGTGAAAAGCCTGATGTACTTTCTAGGCTTGTAATACAGAATGAAGAGAGAAGCCATTGAGGCTTCTACGTACCACAATTAACACTGGACCTGACTGGTATACATGAAAGAACCCTCAAGGGTTTTATTCAGAAAACAGCATATGTGATCTGGTTTTTCTGGTGTGCTGAGACACCGGGTTACACAGGAATGGGAAAAGAAAACACTAATGATGTCACCACATGAAACAACAAAGGAGACTACCCAGTTAGAAAACTAAACTCCCTTCAGGAAAAAATAAGGACTACTATTCAGGCCCTTCTGGAAACTTTTTATTCAGTATCATTTAAAATGGAAAAAGCAGAGGAAAGGCTTTTAATCTATCAGGGATTACAACATCTGCATATCTATTTTGAGTTTTCAAGAACTCTAGCTCTAATTAATTCCAACACATCTGGGGTTAGTGGTTTTTATACCAAGAGCAATGAAACCTGTTCTGGAGAATCTGATAAAAAGGGAGAACCACAAAACAGATGGCATTTCCAGTAAGGCTGAAAGGTTTTCAAAGTTCAAGATAATCAAGTCTTAATAAGCCGGCTCGTTAAAAAGGTGTGTCAGGGGTGGAACAAGAGGAGGACGACTTAAAATTAATATACCCATAAACAACTCTTGATATTGCTGACTAAAATCACCACTTGGAGATCTGTCTCCCAAACAGAGGGAGAAATGAACACCTACCAGATCCAATTAACAAAGACGGGTGGGGGTGGAGAGAATCGTATTTGAAAATATAAATGAGTGGGGTGGGCGGTTGACCACCTATCCAGTTGGTGGTTGCGATGAGGAAATCATACGATTCAGTCATAAAGGCAGGAAAACAATGTCACACCCAAACTCCACATGCTAAGCACCAGACATTGGCCAAAGGGATATGATCACATACCCTGATCCCTGAACTCAAGGACAGGGAGTACCAGCCCCATACGGTGCCCGAGGGGAGGTGAAGGACCACCCCATTCTGGGGCTGGGAGCAGACACCTTCAGACCCAGCCTTAACGGGGTCAACACCCGCCAGGCTAGGCCTCGCCAAGGCCAGACATCCCTAAGCCCCCTCCATCTCGGCCAGCGCAGCCTCTCCTCTCACCCACCCCCAACACAACCCTCCCCTACCTGATATGGCGGCGGCGGCTCCTGATCCGGCTCCGTCCCCTCGCCAAAGCTAGCCCGGTCGGACTGAGACTCGTGAAGCAGGGAGATGTCATCCGAGGTGGGGGATTTGAGGCAGTTCCCCATCTTCCAGGGCTGGGGAGTGTGATCTGAGGGGGAGGAAGAAAGCAGTGACGGGGTCGTTCGCACGTTCCGCGGTCAGCCTCTCTCGGCGAGGTGGGGTCGACGGCAGACTGGGGCTCAGGCGGCGGCTCCCCCGCCCCCCGGCGCCGCCGAGGGGCAGCTCATGCCAGCCCCCGGGGGTGGGGACTCAAGGCTGGGCCGCGGGCCCCGCTGGGGTCGCGGCGGTTGCCTCCTTCGAGGCGGCTCTGGGGGGGGGGGGGGCGGGGAGACGTAGAACTTCCCCACCCCGCCCCCCCGCGGGGCGGCGGCGGCCACGGAGCTGCTGGGCCTAATCCAGGTCAGGAGGTGGGGGCGCGGCCGTCACGGCTGCCTCAGCTGCTGCCTCAGCTGCTGCTGCCCCCGCCGACGCCGGAGCCGGAGCCGCGGGCCTCATCCTACTCCGCCTCAACGCGGCGGCGGCGGCAGCCAGAACGAGGCCGGCAGGGGACCTGCGTCACCCCGTCGTGCGTGCTCTGGCTCCGCCCCGGGCGCCCAAAGCCCGAAGCAGGGCGGCTCTGGAGGCGCGGCTGGCCCCTCCCCCCTTTTGCAGCTGCTGGGGGGCCGGGAGCCCGCAGGATGCAAGGGTTTCTTCCAGTCTACCTGACCGTTTGGCTGGGGTACCTGACTCTGAAATCTCTCAGCAGTCTCCCACACTTCCTTACATCCACTGCTCCAAACCTCCCCTCTTACCTCTGCACCGTTCTGACGGTCTTCTCACTACCCTCTGCCAAGTAGTGTATTTATAACCCCATATCTGAATGGATCAGTACCACTGTTAAAATGCTAAATAGCTTTCCCTGTATCCCTTCAGAATAAAGTCCAAGCTCTTTAATGAACTCTCCCTATCTCTCCAATCACTTCTTTCCTACCCTCCTATCTCACACCCAGAGATTTTCCTGTTGTATATCTCAGATTATCCCATTTCTTTCCATTCCCACCACCATAGTCCCAAATTACCATAATGTCTTAACCACACTTCTGCTCCGTTAATCTCTGTGCATTCATCATTGTCATCATCCAGTCTACTTTAGTAATCTCCACAGTTGACAGTTATTTTTTTTTTATACTTTATTTATTTATGTGGTGCTGAGGATCGAACCCAGTGCTTCATGCATGTGAGACAAGCGCTCTATCACTGAGCCACACCCGCAGCCCCACAGTTATGTGTTTAACTGTAGATCTGGCCACATACTGGCCCTGTTCAAAACTTCCAGTGGCTTCCCAATTCTGTTCTTAAAACAATCTTTAAATGGTTTACAAACCTGACTGCCTCTCAAATTTCATTAGCAAGATTGTCCACACCTTCACAAATTCTAAACTCTAGGCCATTCAAAGTGCTTCTAGTTATCTCAAGAACTATTCCCTTTGGTTGGGGCCTTTGCCCATATTGTTTCTCTGACAGAAATCCACTTCTCAGTCCTGGCCTTCTACCTCTCATCAGGCTAATCATTATTCCCACCTTTCCCTCGCGTATTCAATTTCATTTTCCTTGGGAAGCCTTTCCTGACCCTCCAGCCCTAGATTAATCACCTCTTCTGTGCTCTCAGACCTTGACTTTTCTCTTTCACAGACTGATCAAGCTGAATCATCTGTCCCTCCTCTGTACAAGGCCTGGCACATTGCCTAAGGTAGAGCAGGCCCACTTCTTGGTTGAATGAACAAATAGCTCAAATAGCATATGCAAAGAAAACAAGAAAGATGAGAGTACTCCTAATATTCATTCAATCTGAAGACAAAGAAAAAAAAAGAAGACAAGAAATTGATTTTGAATCCTTTTTTTATATTCTTATTTGTATGTGTCCCTATATGAAACACTAGTAAAACTGATGGTTATCCAGCCTGGCTTGTTCTTGGTGGAGCCTAGAATCCAGCTAGGAAGACAAGTAAACAGAGGAACCCTTCTGAGCCTCTCCCCAACCCCTACAGTCTTTAGAGAACTGAGAAGAGAATGATTAGTTCAGTTGGCTAAGGATCAGAAAAATTCCTAGAGTTAATATTGTTTTAAACAATATGGGCCTTAGCACCCTTACTTCAGAGTCCCTAATTCTACAAAATCACTATCTTAAAAAACATTCAAATTCCATGTTAAATATAACATTTTGTAGTAGTATTTCTTTTCTTTTTCTTTTCTTTTTTTTTTTGGTGGGAGGGGCTGTACTTTGGATTAAACTCAGGGGCATGCTACCACTGGGCTACATTACCCAACCCTTTTTGCTTTTTGTTTTGAAACAGGGTCTTGCTAAGTTGCCCGGGCTGATCTTGAATTTGTTGTTCTCCTGCTTCAGCCTCTTGAGTTACTAGGATTACTGGTGTGTGCCACCATGCCTGGCTAGTGTAAAAAAATTTTAAAGATTGTAATAATTTTGATTTTTAAATGTTGAGTTTCCAGGAAGTCATGTAATTTGTGCTTAGCTAAATCTTCCAGAAATCAGAGGTACTCCTGAATTTTTGCAAAGTGAGGAAAATTTAACTTACAAATTATTTTCATGTCTAATGACATTTCATAAATAACAAATTTAATGTAATGTTTACACAATGCTAGAATTTATAGATACAGAGTTTTTTGTTGTGGTTGTTTTTTAGGTTTTGTTTGTGCCCTAGTTTTTTTCTTAATTTTGCTCTTGCTCTCTATCTCTCTTTGTCCTCTCTCACTCGCCTCCCCCTCCATACACATATACATATACACCATATTACTACCTCACGTAGGTACAGCTTTAGACCTCCGTGTGGTAAGAGAACGACTGTTGCATGTTCCTGAACCTAGCACTACCACCTAATTTAGGTGACAATATTGATAATAATGAGAGTTTCCCTCTCATTCCACAGAAATTCAAGTCAGTTGTAAATTTTTTTTTTCTCTTTGTTTGGTACTACAACTTTAACCCAGGAGTGCTTTATCACTGAGCTATATCCCCAGCCCTTTTTTATTTTTTACTTTGAGACAGGGTCTAAGTTGATGAGGCTGGCCTCAAACATGCAATCCTCCTACTTCAAACTCCTGAGATGCTGGGATTGCAGGCGTGCACCACTGCACCTGACTGCAAATTGTTTTTTTTAAGTAGCCACAGAAAGTATGATTTTTATAATAGCATCTAGGACATAAAGCATACATATGAAGAGGAGGTATGGAATTATATTTTAGAAAAGGTGAGTGGTTATTCATCATTATTTCCTTAGGAAGAGACTCCCCCTTTCCCCCTCCCTGTGGTGTTAAGGATTAAATTTAGAGTCTTGTACATGTTAGGCAACTGCTCTGCCACTGAGTTATGTCCCCTAGCCCCAGCATTATTTCCTAAGGGATGGACAAAATACCAGCTATAATCCTAACACAGTTTTAAAAAATGATACAAATGGTCTTGATGATAATAAAATAATGCATAAGAAACTATATAATCATAGTTATGCACCGCATAATATTTCAGTTGACAACAGACTGTATATATTATGATGACCCATAAGAATATTGGAGCTGAAAAATTCCTATCACCTAGTGATGTCTAGTCATTGTAACATTATAGCACAATATGTTACCTGAGTGTTTATGGTGATGCTGGTATAAACAAACCTACTGTACTATGGTCATGTAAAAATATAGCACATAGAATTATGTACACTACATAATACTTGATAATAAACAACTGTTCTTGGTTTATGTATTTACTGTATTATCCTTTTTATAATTATTTTAAAGAATTGCCTTATACTTATAAGAAAAAAGTTTGCTGTGTTACACCAACAGCAGCCTCATATATTTTGTGTTTCCCACACCTCTTAATTGCATCTTTTTCTCTTGTGCTTGACTTAATCATGTTATTTTGTTCATTGTGGTCCCTAATCATGTGAAATCCATTGCAAGTGTTGCTAGGAAGAGGCCACATCAACTGAGTGACCTGAAAACCAAATTAAAAGGGATTAAGAAGCTGGGTGTGGTGGTGCACATCTGTGATCCCAGCTACTGGGAGGTGAAGAAAGGAGAGTTACTTGAGCCCAGAAGTTTTTGGCCAGTCTAGGCAAAACAACGAGAGCCTATCTTAAAAAAAAATAAAAATAAAAAAATTAAGGACTACAAAGGTGGAAAATCAATGATTATTATTAGTCACTTCTCAGGCATGTCCCATTACACTATAACTAGGATTTTGAAGAACAAGAATAAAGTGACAGAGGCTGTTAAAGGATCTATTTCCATTGACAGCAATGTACTAATAAAATTTTGAGAAGAGCCTATATCATAAATGGAAAAACTTCTAATGACGCCGGACACAGAAGCATATCCCTCTCAACTTCAAGATCATCACAACCAAAGCAAAAATTTGTTTGCATTGTGAAAAGAAAACGCTGGACTTGACTACCTATGACATTGACTTTACTGCTGCTCTGAGTTGTTTAAAAGATTCAAGAATCATTATTCTGGGACTGGGGACATAGCTGATAGAGCATAAGGCCCTGAGTTCAACCCCCATTACATGGGGAAAAAATAAATTTATGGTTAGGGATGTAGCTTGATGGAAGAATAGTACTTGCTTATCGTGCACGAGTTTTTACCCCCATCAATCAATCAATTAATCAATCAATGAAAGATTTGTTATTTAAGCTGGATGTGGTGGCTGGCATCTATCACCCTAACTACTTGAGAGGCTAAAAGGGAGGATCAATTGGGCCCAGAAATTTAAGGCCTGCCTAGGCAACATTGTGAGAGCCCATCTTAAAAAAAAAAAGAGTAGGGACTTGAGTCATCAAATACTAATGTGAAGACAGCTTGAGAATTTTTGAGATTATAGTGCACACCTATAATCCCAGCTGCTCTGGAGGCTGAGGCAGGAAGATCACAAGTTAGAAACCTGCTTTAGCATTTAGCGTGGCCTTAAGCAATTTAGCAAGACTCAAACTCAAGAAGGACTTGGGGAGGCAGCTCATGTAAATGCTCTGGATTCAATCCCCAGTAGGAATTTTTGGAAACTCTAGATAAGCTGATTTTGGAGGAAAATCACTTGCTTGAGCAAGCTTCAATGTGGATGAAACATTCTTATTCTGGAAACAGATCCCTGGACAAGACTTCCATTCATAAGGAGGCTAAGTTCAGTGCTCAGTATCCATGGTTTTAAGGACAGACTAACAATCTTGCTATGGGACAATGTTTCATGCTACAAATTGAAACCCTCTGTGATCTGGCACACTGAGAATTCCAAGGTCTTCAAGCATATCAGTAAGCACACAATGCCAGTGTACTACAGCAGAAATAAGAAGCCATGACCCAGTTCCTCTTCCAAGGTGCCCTCCTGCATTGCTGTGCCAGCAAAATGGAGAAGTGCCATTTAGAGAATAACACACCTTTCAAGATTCATGGTAATGCTCTCATGAATCCTCCTTTTATTGGTGAGTTTCATCCCAATATCAAACCAATATTTTCCCCACTAAACCCAA